CCGATTCTTTTAAAGTGAGATAGTTATTTCGCACTTTTCTAGTCATAATTAACCAATTTTGAGTTATAATTTCGTTATAATTCAATAAATATATTTGTATATAAATATTTCAGGAATAATTTTAGTTTGCAATATGTGTTTTCTATACTTTTTTATTTAATAGGGAATAGAGTTGATTTTTGAATTAGGTTTTATAGAATTATAAATAATTTAATATATAAAGGATTTAAAAATTGAATATCTTATTATAATAAAATATATTAATGTCATCTGAATTGGATAAGAAATTGTGTTCTAAGCACTAATTGGAGATTTAGACAATAGATTTAAAATAATCTACTGCTGATGAGGATAAATATCTTTGTATCAAGTGTCTGATGGAGAAAATTGATATTTAAAACATGGCTCTGGTTTAGGAGACAAAAATAATGATTAAGCAAATGAAAAGTGAGTAATTGAACAGTAAAATCAAATAGTATTAGAGTAAGATCGAAAACTTTAGATAGATTCATACTTAAGTAAAAGAATTGAGATTGTCAATCAACAACACCTTAGATAAAGTTTAAAGTAACTTAGATTAAAAAATAACTCTAATGGAGAAAGAGTTAGAAGAATCAGAATCAAAAACCTAAGTTTCTTCTTTTGAGGAAGATGTTAAAGTTCTATCAAAGAATTACAAAGGATCATTTAGCTTTGAAGTTCCTAAGGAATTCGAGAACTCTATGGATAACAATTCTTATATAGATTCAGTATAATAGTAATTGTAATCTATAATTAAATGTCCTATTTTCAACTAAATCAACGAATCTTTAGAAAACACTAAATTGAAAGAAGACCATAAAGAAATAAAGTAAATCTAATCTCTGTCAAAAAAGGAGGAAAATCCATTAGTAATTATATTATACAATAATAGAAAACACCAAGCTTGAATATTTAATGTAATAAACATGGAAAAGAAATTATCATGTTAAACTTAAATCCTGAAAAAACTAAACTTTCTAGATAGGCTTGTGTCGAGTGTATATAATCTAATGATCCAATCAAATATACAACTTTAAATGATGCGAATTTTAAATGGAATGAATATTTGGGTTAGACTAGTGATTAAGTTAAACAATTTTAGGACTTAAGATGTTTTAAATAAAGATAAATCATTGAAACTCTTGAAGAAGTTAAAGAAAAGTACAATTCTACAATTTCAGATATTATCAATAGGGTAAACACTCAATACTCAATGTTCTCTCAAAATGAGACTAATTAATTTAATGAGAATATGATTTATTAAATGAGTACTGAATAAATTAATGAGTTATCTGATATATTAAGCTAGACAGATAAATTTTAAGCTTTAACTGAGAAACAATTTAATATATAGAAGGAAGATCTTAATTAACTGGATATAATTTCAACGAATTTTGGAAAATTACTATAAAACGATATATTAGCAACTAATAAGATTAATAAAATATTCAAAGAATAAAACTCCTATATTGCTGAACTCAAGGGTAAAAAAGATGAAATTATTCAAGAGGAAAATCACATTTCTAATCAATAATCCATTAAGTAATTAAATTTATAACTTCAAAATTTATAAATATATTAGGTTATCTTAAATGAAGCATAAAATTAGTATGAATTTATTATGCAAACAATAAATAACTTATCAACAGAATTTAAAGATTTATAACTGTAGCAAGTATAGCTCTATTTGTAAAAATTAGTTTAATCAATATGTATCTAATATAGAAAAAGATTTCTTGATAATGAAGAAACTAAAGAATTTCGATAAAGTTGAGGCTGAACTTAAATAGAATCAGTAAGATAAGTAATACTTGAAAAATCAACTAACAGAGAGTGAAAAGACAAACTTATCAAACTAATAAACAATAATTGAACTTAAATAAAAGGATGGAGAATAGATATAAATAATGTAAGATTTAAGGAATGAAAAGGAAGTATTAAGAGTAAAAGTAAAAGAACTTGAATAATAAAGTAAAAATGAGATTGTATTAAATAGAAAGTTAATTTGAAGTTAATCTTAAAGAAAAATAAGGATAGTTGGAAAGATGTTAAGACTTAAATCAAAAGAATGAAGAAATAGTCAAATAATTATAACTAACTTTGGTATAAGTAAAATTTAAATTTGAAGTAGTTATCGTAATTCTCTAAATAATTGACATTCTCAACAACTTATAAACATAATAGTTGTTTAGTAAATTAAAATGGAAAAGTTATTGAGAATAATTATGATGGTCATTATTGTTGTATGTGTGATTAAATGATTCCTAAGAATGGAGTCATTTTATTTGCTTTTAAAATTATTGAAATTTCTTCTATTATGATTGGAATTGGTTTTAGGGATATTGTGTAGAGTAAGGGTTATTAGGGTTCTTATTCTATTGGAGGAGGGTATATATTATGATATAAATAGTTCATAAATAGAACATATAATATACATAATTCAAATTATTGTTATAATCATGATTAATAAGATAAAAATAGTTAATAAATAGGATTTCGATTTTCAAAAAATGATATTATAATAGTTGAAGTGGANACCTAAGTTTCTTCTTTTGAGGAAGATGTTAAAGTTCTATCAAAGAATTACAAAGGATCATTTAGCTTTGAAGTTCCTAAGGAATTCGAGAACTCTATGGATAACAATTCTTATATAGATTCAGTATAATAGTAATTGTAATCTATAATTAAATGTCCTATTTTCAACTAAATCAACGAATCTTTAGAAAACACTAAATTGAAAGAAGACCATAAAGAAATAAAGTAAATCTAATCTCTGTCAAAAAAGGAGGAAAATCCATTAGTAATTATATTATACAATAATAGAAAACACCAAGCTTGAATATTTAATGTAATAAACATGGAAAAGAAATTATCATGTTAAACTTAAATCCTGAAAAAACTAAACTTTCTAGATAGGCTTGTGTCGAGTGTATATAATCTAATGATCCAATCAAATATACAACTTTAAATGATGCGAATTTTAAATGGAATGAATATTTGGGTTAGACTAGTGATTAAGTTAAACAATTTTAGGACTTAAGATGTTTTAAATAAAGATAAATCATTGAAACTCTTGAAGAAGTTAAAGAAAAGTACAATTCTACAATTTCAGATATTATCAATAGGGTAAACACTCAATACTCAATGTTCTCTCAAAATGAGACTAATTAATTTAATGAGAATATGATTTATTAAATGAGTACTGAATAAATTAATGAGTTATCTGATATATTAAGCTAGACAGATAAATTTTAAGCTTTAACTGAGAAACAATTTAATATATAGAAGGAAGATCTTAATTAACTGGATATAATTTCAACGAATTTTGGAAAATTACTATAAAACGATATATTAGCAACTAATAAGATTAATAAAATATTCAAAGAATAAAACTCCTATATTGCTGAACTCAAGGGTAAAAAAGATGAAATTATTCAAGAGGAAAATCACATTTCTAATCAATAATCCATTAAGTAATTAAATTTATAACTTCAAAATTTATAAATATATTAGGTTATCTTAAATGAAGCATAAAATTAGTATGAATTTATTATGCAAACAATAAATAACTTATCAACAGAATTTAAAGATTTATAACTGTAGCAAGTATAGCTCTATTTGTAAAAATTAGTTTAATCAATATGTATCTAATATAGAAAAAGATTTCTTGATAATGAAGAAACTAAAGAATTTCGATAAAGTTGAGGCTGAACTTAAATAGAATCAGTAAGATAAGTAATACTTGAAAAATCAACTAACAGAGAGTGAAAAGACAAACTTATCAAACTAATAAACAATAATTGAACTTAAATAAAAGGATGGAGAATAGATATAAATAATGTAAGATTTAAGGAATGAAAAGGAAGTATTAAGAGTAAAAGTAAAAGAACTTGAATAATAAAGTAAAAATGAGATTGTATTAAATAGAAAGTTAATTTGAAGTTAATCTTAAAGAAAAATAAGGATAGTTGGAAAGATGTTAAGACTTAAATCAAAAGAATGAAGAAATAGTCAAATAATTATAACTAACTTTGGTATAAGTAAAATTTAAATTTGAAGTAGTTATCGTAATTCTCTAAATAATTGACATTCTCAACAACTTATAAACATAATAGTTGTTTAGTAAATTAAAATGGAAAAGTTATTGAGAATAATTATGATGGTCATTATTGTTGTATGTGTGATTAAATGATTCCTAAGAATGGAGTCATTTTATTTGCTTTTAAAATTATTGAAATTTCTTCTATTATGATTGGAATTGGTTTTAGGGATATTGTGTAGAGTAAGGGTTATTAGGGTTCTTATTCTATTGGAGGAGGGTATATATTATGATATAAATAGTTCATAAATAGAACATATAATATACATAATTCAAATTATTGTTATAATCATGATTAATAAGATAAAAATAGTTAATAAATAGGATTTCGATTTTCAAAAAATGATATTATAATAGTTGAAGTGGATATCCAAAAGAAATACGTGAAATGGACAAAATAATCCACAAATCAATCATTTGTATCAATATCAAATTATTATTATTATTAGACTCTGACTATAGATACATCTAAAGATTTATATCCATGTGTACATTTATATGACAGATGTAAAATAGAGATATTAAATTCATTATTTAAATGATAAAATATAAATTATATTCATAATTATATCATTTTATAATAATAATATAATAATCATTGTTTAATACAAATAAGGGAGTATTTTCACATTTCTTTTGTGAGTTTTTATGTCAGTGATCAAATTTTAAAATTTGATGTAAGAAAAGCTACAATAAAATATTAATTAACTTCATTACTTGTTTAGGAACATTATATCCTCTAGAATTATTTCAGATATCTACCTTAATTTATGAAAGTATTTAAAACAAAATGAAGGAAATTATAAAATATTGTTTTATAAATAGGTAGCATAGTAAAAATCCCAACCTAAAATTCGAATCTATAAATTTGCCTGTTTACGCTAAGTACAATATAATATCTTTAAGATTAATTCTTTCACCTCCGAACTCAAAACTTAAAATTATTTAATATTTATTTATTTTAATTTAGATTATTGAAAAATTTATTAACTATAATTATTATTCCAATATCTTTATGAAATTATATATCAGAAGTTAATTGACTTATTTCTATGTGAATTATTTTTATATTAATAAAATGAATCCTATTTGATTATAATATTTTTTGAAATAACGAATATACATTTTACTCTTAAGCGTGCTTAAATATCTTAGTCATTTAATAAAAAAGCCTTTTCAATAATACATTTGATTTGGCTTCTAAATAGTTTTCTAATTAAAGAGAATTTTTGATTTAAATAACATATGATCTCAACAAATCTTAAAATAGGGAGAAACAACAATAAATTAAATTGATTTAAAATATGACTCATTCTCTCAAACTTTATTAGAGCACCATTAAGCATTGTAGTACTAATTAAGGAAAAGTTCACATACTTCACAGTTATCTTACCCCAACTAATAAATTCCCTGGAGATTCAGTCTTTACAAATTTCCATCTAAAACCATTCCAATTATGTAATTGCCGAATAATACTACTCCAATCCTCCCATATATAATTTCATAGGACCAGTTCATGTTAGAATTTTCAAGTTTAACATTTTACCTTATTTAATCCACTTTAACTCTTTCATCCTTACTAAACTCACTATCAGTGTTCTAGGTGTCTAAAATCTCACTTACTTCGACTTAAACATCTGCTAAGGTCTCTATTAAGGTGCCTAATAAATTATCTGTGATGTTAATGTTTATTAAGATTCCACTTTCTATTCAGTAATTTTCGATTATTATTTAGTTGGACTCAAGCTTGGAAGTAACCTGTGTTTATGGATATGGACCATCCTACCTTAATGGATTATCCATTTAACTAATATCTTATTAACTTCACTAATTCTTCAAATATCCAATTAGATAATTAATAAATCTACTTCATCAATAAAAATAAATAAATATCAATATTTAAATTTAAAGTAATATTCATTACAGATAAAGATTACAAAGTATAGAATTAATAAATATTTGACATTTTCTTATAAAAGTTGTGAAGAACTAGATATGCGATCCTGTAAAAAATTAGAAAATTGATTTTACTTAATGAATAACAATGTAATAAAATGATTTTATATGCAACCCTTTTATTATGTGTTAATTAAAAAGATCGAAATCATAGCATCGCTTATAAGTATATTTTTTCGGAATTAAAAATGAGATATTAATAATCAATAAGGTTTTAATGATATTTTTTTGAGTATTGATTTTATGTAATATTAGAAAAAACCAATTTTCGATATATTTTATCTAAAAATGAGAAATATTTTTTGTCTCGGTTGATAATACATAGATTTCAGTTTTAATTTTATGAGTCAATTCCAAAAAAGAAGTATTATAATAACAGATTTAGTTGAAATGGTGTAAGTC